CAAGCAAAAATGACTGACCACAGGGAGTTGTGGATAATGTCAGTCATCAGGAAAGATTGGACAACTTTTCTTTGAAATACAGCACAAGACACAACAACTGCTGTATATCGAAGGATATGGGATTATTTTATATGAATATAAAATGCAGGTGGAATGGATCAAGCAAGCTCTGACCTCAGGTAAATTTTGCTTTTAGCTTCAGCTTCACCGACAATTCTGTTTGGTTCATCTTTAAGCAGAACAAAATGTAATGGTGTTAAAGATTGCTAAGAATAAAGTTCACATCTAACATTTATGTTAACATCTAATGTCTAACATTAGCCCCTGAGTCTTAAAAATGTTTTTATTCTGAAACCTGCTAAAGAAAATTGTCCACACTGCACAATTTTTCAAAATGTTTTGGGGAAAATTGGCTTCAGGCAGAATAAAGCAGACCTTTGTTACCTTACACTTTCAAGAAAAATTACTCTTAGTCCTGGAAAATTCTTGAAAGAATGAGTTTCTTGAGTTTCTGTACATATTATAGTCTTCTTGTTAGGTTTGTATTCATCCTACCTGAATACAATCATGCCTGTATTCATATTTTAAGGCTGGGATTACACTATATTACCTTAGAGTCCATTTGGCAGTTGCATGCACAGTTTGCACCCTTAAAGTGTAGTATCTGCACTGACAATTGTACCAGATCACAACAAATTAGAGGCTACATCTCCTCAGAGCTTCACGCACGCCCGCTGAAGATAAAATACACACCACTTGGACACTTACAGCACGTATGCAATATGCAATAAACCTGTGTTACTAGTCGCTGTAATCCAGCCCATATTGCCACAAAGCGATGCCTTCTGCATGCTGTTAGAATATGAGTGATGAGGATAAAATCGCTAATCTTTGTTCCACACAGAAACGCAGAACTTCAGCTTAATGTGAGGCTACGGCAGTGTGAGACAGTCAGCTAGGGATTTTCCACACTCAATCTCTTTTAGTACCAAATTATCACTTTCTTTTCCCATCCCTCTACGTTGGCTCATCAAGGAAACACTCTGTGAATCCACAAAGAAGGAATTTCATAATAAGGACTCTTTGACTTCAGGAAAACCCAACTGACTTGTCTGAGGCTGTAAGAGCTTCATGTTAGCTTCAGATTCACTTTGGAGAGCATTTTCACACGGAGCACGGAGGAATGTGGATTCTGTTCCTCTATTACTTTGGATATAGATTTTTTTTGAAGTCAATACGATCAACAAATTAACATGTAACTGATTTTAATTTACACACGTGTCAGTGATGCGTTTAACAAAAAAGAAAGTTAACCTTTTTAACTATTCAGCATCAGAGTGTGAAAAAAGGCTGAGGAACTTTACCCAAGGTTTCTCAGAGCTTAGTGATTATGTTTTTGTTTGGATTCATATTTTCTGTTATTAACTAGATGGTTTTATTGAAGGTAAAATGGTTTTAAGCATCTAGCTGAACTCTGCATATTTGTATTGATATGAGAGTAAAAAGCTTCAATCTCAGTGAAAGTGAATGCAGCTGTCATGGACAGTGTGACAAAGGAAATCTGAGTGATGTCAGCCATTCTATTATCTTAGAAAAGATTTGTAGAATATTCATTTTAACTGAAAGCTTCTGCAAGCACTGAGAGTTTAACAATACACCAATAATGGTGTTTTTTAATGGATCTTTCTCCATCTAAAAACCTCAAATTTCATTCTGTTTTGTAGATTTTGTATGCCAAATTAGTTGTGTTGATTCTTAGTTATTTTAAGGACTCCTGCAGAGCTAGATTGGTATGCTAGTTTTACCCCATTAGCACATTTTTCTATTTAATTATTTATGGATTCTTTTGGCACATTTTCCTACATTAAATAACATTTTCTTGTCTATTTCAGGAGGTTTTTTCCTTTTAATTGAATCTATTTGCATCGTGAAACTTCAATAAAAGAGAAGCAGCAAACGCAGCACTTGCAGTGAGAAAAAAGAAGTGCGCAGAAGTTCAGCATGATGTGTTACGCTAACCACTTTTTGCCAGTGTTAATTGCATTATTATTTCCTGAAGCCACTTTCCCATTTTGCTTTATTGTCCTTCCTCTAAGTGTGAGGTTTGCAGAACAGCACCCGGTGAACCTGCTCAATACAATTCAGCAGAGTGCAGCTATCCTGTACGCAAGCTTTCTCCAGAGCTCTGCCGCTGAAGGACTGAATTGCCCTCTGAACCTCTACATCTTTCTATAGCACAGTACTCCACTGCATCATAGTTACTAACAGCTGGTAAGTGTAGCCTCTGCACTGGAAGCACATCTGTGACGTACACAGAAATGCCGGACAACAAACCGACATTTCCTCCCTGCTTCATACAGATGTACAAATAAGCGCGCGCACTAACAAGGCATTACAAACGAGCCTCTTCCATCCTGTTACACTTTAGTGTCACAGGAGCCAGGGGCGTCGTCACCACAACATACAAAGAAACACCTCTCTGGCAGTGTTTAAACAGCCTGAGCAGAAACATGCTTCTGAGACAGGCAGGATTCATATAAACACAGACCAACACAATTACAAGGGAGCCTTGTGCTGCAGCTGAAACAATGCTTCTAGCAACTGTGTTGTTTGCACTTTGAATGAGTTCGGTCCATACACTTGTAGCCATAGAGGGAGAGAGCGTGGGTGTATGTGTGTTGGGGGAAGGGAGTGCTTCTGGGTGTGGTCCCCCCTCCCTGCTCGTGTATACCAATAGATATACGGATGTCTAGATATTAAAAACTGTGGGGGAAGTGCTAATGATGTGATGGTTTTGTGGCGAGCCTGAGTATCACCTTGGCACGAGAGGAGCATAGCCTGGGGCAGGGAGGGGGCCTTTTTTTCTGCCTTTATTATGCCCGTCCCTGAGGTCCACCTCTCCTAATGTCATGCAATGTAGCTCTGACAGCTACCTTCAAAAGCATCAGCAGGGGTTCGCTGAACAGAAATCCCCCCACTGCTCATTCCTTTCCTATTTCCTTTTTTTCAAAACAAACACATTCAGCAGACAGAGATGCATAGAAACAGCATACAGCAAACTAACAGCACACAACACAACAGCCGCTTATCTGCACGTGGACATACACCTATTTCTATACTGTGAATTACACTCTTCCACTTCTCTCTTAGCTCTCAGCAGCTACTCCCCCTCCCTCCCGCTTCCATCCAGCACCCAGAGATAACAGCCTTCCCTTTGGGCAGGCAGGCAAGCAGCGGAGGGGACAGCCATGGATATGTTCTGCCTGCTATCTAATGAGCGTCGGAATGTCACTGTGGGCCTGTCTGCTGGTCCCAGCTAGCCAAGCCTCCACACATGTGGAATCAGCACAGTCTATCAAACAGCTGGCAGACAGCTCTGCTCTGCATTTCTATCTCTTCCTCTCTCTCTTTCTCCTTCCCATCCCAGCTTCTTTCTCTCGAGCTCCCGCACTCATTTTCTCTTTTACAGAACGTGCCTCCTCCTTTCTGTTCCTGATTGCAAACAAGCAGATGCCCAGGTCCGTTCTGCCGTTGCAGCTCTGCCCGCCTCCCCCTCACCCAGCATCATCGACTTAACATAGACATCCCAAATGAAGGATGGAGGCAAGCTACCATAAATAACACACTGCTGTCTCCGCCTGGATAACTGTATGTACTTAGCAAAAGGTATCGTAGGAAAATAAGATAGCGCAATGACAAAGGGGTACCAGTCACAGAATAGTTGTTCTTTTTCTCCTTTTATTTTGTGGAAAGAAACCTGCAGGTAGCTTCTTTCACTAACTGTCTTTGTTTCTCTCTCTCTAACTCTCCCTTTGCTACCCGCCTGTGTAGAGCACTTCTGAGTGTTGTCTACACAGAGGACATCAAATGGCCTGCCTTCACAAAGATACTGGAGTTGCTGCTCCATGCAGAAGTGCCGCTGTCTCAGCGGTTGTGCAGGGAGATTAGAAGATATCAGCGAGAAGGGGGGGGTCGACAAATGATTGTGGTGTTTCTCTGTCCCAAAACAATGCCGTCACGTTGGTACATTACGTGATCCGTGATGAGAACCTTCTTGTGGAGATGTGTTACATCGCCATATCTTTTGTTTTGCCACTGATCTGGGAGCAAAAAACAATTTCCTCTTTTGCTACTTTTGCCTGGGTTATGATAGACATCTCCATCCCTGTGATGGAGCTGTTAACAGTTTCATTTGGATTGTAATGAGCGTCTGACATCAAGTAACAAAGACGTAACACTGACAGAAATTTAAAAAAAAGAAGAAGTGAAAAAGCATTTAAAAAAGTCAAGCACGACCTCATCTTTGACAACTCTGTTTTGCACGCTACACGCACTGCCTTGCAGCTGACAACATGATCACTCTGCGGCCCATTCACATTTTTAGCGACGCAAACTGTTCAAACTCACACACTCCAGAAGATCACCAAATGGGTGAATTCTTGCAGGGGGCCCATTCACTCTCCAGACTCACTTCATATATCAACTCTGACTGTGGGATTTTTGTCTCGGCCTAATCTGATTAAGCTCAGCCATTCTATGATTCTTTGTATGATCCTCCCATCTCTCCCCCTCTGCCTGCCCTCAACACAACACTTTTTCATGAAAACCGAACATGCCTATTGTTCAGGCAGGTGGTAGTCTGAGGCCACCCCCCCAGCTAAATCCAAATAGAGAGAAAAAACTGATAATGCACTGTATGTTGCAGTTTACAGTCTGTTACACAGGAACAGACAAACACAAGAATCATATAAAGGAATCTGGTGCACAGCATTATTCGATGATCTAACATCAGACATCTACAGGCATCTCAGCTCAGGATCTGTGGATTACTGGGCTGCATCATGTTGGCCTTTCTAGTTGTGTAAACAAAACATACAAAGGAAATAAACAAAATGAAATGAGTAGTTATCATAGGAAAACATGTTCTTTGCATGGACATCATCTCATCTGCTTTACATTTTAACTTCAGACAGAGACAGAGTGAATGTGTGTTATGGTACCTTGGAAGTGGAAAGCTCTAGACTCGCTGTGGAAGCCCTGGACCTGAGTAACTCCATCAAAGCCTTCTCCAAGCGTTAGTTCATCAAATACGCTGATGCGCAGGGCAGGGTCAACCCCAAAACCTATAACTAATTTACAAACAGAAAACATTATATTTTATTTTATTTAAACCACTGTTATTAAAAAAAAGAGTCTTGTGATGCTAGAAAAAAATATCATGTTTGTTTCAGGGGGAGATGTGTCAGGTCAGGTTAAGATTAAGAGCTGATTATTTCTGAGAAGGTTTGGTCACAAGTTAAGCAAAACAGCACATCATTTAATGAAGCTGATCTCATGTTAAAAAGCAAAATGTTGCGACATAACGGTTCATTTAAAAATCAGTGACAGCCTTTTGTCCTACCTGAGGAGACGAAAAATACACCGGAAATCAGAAACAGCTGTAATAATCTCATGGTGAATGTATAAAAAAAACAAAAGCAAAATTAGTCCATGTTTTGTCCACTTCCGAGAGACAGCGTTCTTCAATCACATGCGAATGATGTATCACCCTCGCACGGGAGGCTGTTACCAATCCCAAATGCTGAGCGGAGGCATCATCACAACTTTAGATGCCCGGCGATGCGAATTTATTTTTTTTTTAAAGGGGGGAGAGAGAAGCAAATCCGAAAGAGGGGGAGGAAAAAACACAGCAATGATGCTGAAATTATTCCATGTAACACAGGGTCTGCTCCATCCGCATCATCCGCGGCACAGGTGGCTGACAGAGGACGGACAAAGCGAGCTGCTCTGCCTCGGCAGCTCAACAGACGCTCCTACAGCAGTGCGAACGAGCTGTGTGCGCTGAAGGAGAGCAGACAGAGAGAGGAAGGGAGAGGAGAAACCTGTCAAGGAGCGAGAGACAGGGGGGAAAGAGGGGCAATAAAGCCCCCTGGTGGCCTGAGATGGGAAAAGCTTTTATATCCATTACATGCATCTCGATTGCAACCACGCCTCATCCTGGCCCATGTCTACTGTAATCTCTCTCTAAAAAAAAAAAAAGAAAAGAAAAGAAAAAAAGGAATTTTTGTCAGTGCCTTAGCTTACATGAAATTCAGGGTTAGGGTCAATGTTTAAATGTTTAAGAAAGCAAGAAGTAACGACGATCAAGACAAAAATCAAATTATTCAGTTTTATTCTATATAAAGCAAAATAAATAAATAAATAAAAACAGGCTTTGTGTGCGCGTATGTTATTATATTGTTATTATTACGGGATAATCCTGGGGTTTTGGCTCATCTTATTAAAACACTGTGTAGCAACCTTGATCTTTGACTCAAATTTCAAATTTGACAGTCAAATGAATTCTGTGGTCTGGGAGCAGTTTCTTCCATCTCCGGACTAAAAGCTCCTTGACTTTGTTATGTTAAAACTGGACTACTTAGAGCACTGCATGCTGTAGTTAGTCCATCATCTCTCGCCCACTTACAATTAGTCCAAAAAGCTGCAGCCAGATTATAGAGTGGGACAACAAGAAAGAGAGAGAGAGTGATCACATTACTCCAGTGTTGGCAGCCTTACATGGCTCACTGTGTATTACAGAATCCACCATGCAGTGGCACTGTTTGTGTTTAAAGCCTTAAGGTGTCTTGCACCTGCATATGTGGCAGATAAGCTCCATATGCTACTGACGTACAATTTACATACTTAATTATTATTTGGATTTGTCCATTTGGAAGTCTACTTGGTGTGACGTGCTTGGATACTCATGTTAAACATAATCAAAGTTTCAAATGAAGACGTCAACATATCAACAAATAATTCAGGTGAGTCAAAAGCTTAGACTTTAGGCTGCTCTAAACACTTTATTTACTTTACTTCTTCATTTGTGTTTCCGTAGAGAGGCTGACACAGCTTGTTTCAAGCAGCTGATGAAGTGCGGGGTTGCATCAAGTCTCAACATGAGATAAATAAAGATTATTTTGAACTATGAGTCAAACAAAACAACTTTAGAGTCCAAGAATGAAAATATAGAGTTGAAAAGACCGTAATAGGTCTAGTATAAATAGATACGCATGTTTGAAACTAAATTTGAATGAGTTACTGCTGCAAAGTCGGCCCAATCAAATGAGAAAATGCACTTGCTCTCTATCATTCATAATTGGATCATTACTAGCTAACCGAGCAATATATTTCAGGTTTTATATATAAACTAAGTCATGGGATATCTAAAAAGTCTAAAAGGGAAAAAGGAAACAATAAATGAGATAAGCATTGCTAGTAGAAGTATATTGCTTTTCAATTTACTGAGACAAAGGTACGTAATTGTTTTTATTTTCCATCTTAAGTACATTGCAGCACAAAAGGCCTAACTACTATTGAAAGGTGGAAGGCCAGCAAGCACAAAAAGCTATTTTATGAGTTATGCCTGTTCATTGAAGTTGTCAAGGTTGTGTACCAACTTTGGAGGTTAAAAGTCCCAGCGATTATAGTGATAAATGGTAGGAACCTACCATGATAAACAATCCTTCAGGCATTGTCAAGGCTCGCCCTCTTTTCCTTTCCTTTTTAGCAATGTTTGGGTTTTCTTTTCAGTTGATGTTGATAACCTCCTTTACGTCTCTTCCAAACCATCTGCCTTCCCTGTCCTTGTGAAGAAGTCAATGGAGAAAAAGCCACCTGTCACAAAAACATTTTACTGGATTATCATATATGCTAAAACTGCTTTTTGATTAGAGTTGTGATCTGCTGCAAGCACACGTTCTCAATCCTTCTGTAAAGGTGACGTCTGGCTTTTCAGCAGGTGCCAAGAAAGCAAATTAAAATTGAGTCCTTGGCTGACTGTGTGCCAATTGAAGCAAAGGCGCTCTGTGGGTTGAAAATTTATTTATTTATCTCGCATCTTCTTTATCATGGCACATACTAACCTTCTGAAACCTAACTGTTTAATCAGCATCCATGTTATGCCAGTGATGTCGATTTTGAAATTATTACATTTTCATTAAATCCTGATCAATTTTCTGCCAGAGGGACATAAATTGAAGACTTTTCCAGAGGCAATCGATCATAAGTCCTTAACAAACTCAGGCCAATCCCTGGATGACAAGAAACATCATTTGCTGGCTATGCTGGTTTCTGAAGTCGAGCTGACAAGTGGGCATCAGCAGATATGATTCATGGGCCGCTGTGGTGCTCAGATCCATCCCAAGGACCTTAGATTAACACCAGCACATTTGCCATTTAAATGTGCCTCTCCTTCAATATACCGGTAGCCTTCGTCAATGCCAATAACATGTTTTGTTTTAATTATAATTCATGCAAAACAGATGTTTTTTGACAAACAGGCTATTATCTGTACCAACTGAGAGCGCATCTACAGCATGCAGCTAATGGGTGGCTATTGTGACCAAAACAAAGACAAGCAATGGCTCTTCATGCAGTGTCACATCTGTTGTCTGAGAGGGCGACCAACCCACTATTCATTATTAATAATTCCATTTCTTCTGGGTCCAGACACAGGAAATGTAATTACTTTGTATTGCCCACAACTTGTCATTTCCTAAAGTGCCATCAGGAAAATAAGAGTCATTAAAGCATGCGCCCAGCAAAGAATCAAAAGTAATAAGCACGCGCACTGCCAACACACACCTGCGCTCGCACGTCAAATCTCTCAAGGCAAAGGCAGAAGAACAGCGGTACTTTCATTTATCTAAAAAAAATTTTTTTTAAATAAATAAATAATGAAAACTAGATGGATGATGCATTGCAAAGCTCTCAGGGGCTTGTTCACTTAGGAAATAAATATACCATATAGACATACTAATGCAAGATCTACAAAATTAAAATCACTTAAAGTAGCAGTGACGGAATACGAATGAACTGCTGGGAAAAAAGAAAGAAAAAAAACTTTGCATATTGTTCCCACAGGGGTCTCCTGGGATTCATTTGGTTCAAATTTCTATGTTATAATGTCCTTTTCTGAGTTTCTAATTTGAATTATATTCTATTAAACCTGTAACGTTTTATTGCATCATCCTGCCCAGTAATGTATTCTAATACCTTTGCTTTGACATGTTTATTTATTTTTATTATGAATATTATTTTTAATATAAATGGAAAAATATTTAAATTAAGCTGCGGTGGACTGATGGAAGTCATCTGCTATTTGTTGCAAAGCTGCATTTTTAAATATTTGATGCTGATGCAAAAACCAGACAGAGTTTTGGGAATCACGCAGTTAAAATATTGATGGTCCCCGTTCTCTCAGCGCCATCGTGGGTACATGACAGAGTATTGCAGGCACTCGATCACAGTGGAGCAGTACTGAGGCCAAACAGACAGTGTCACTCTTGGACCATGCCAAAGGGTAAATGCTCAACTACCCGAAAAATAGGCAACAGACACTCGCGGGCCACTTACTTGGTATAACTGTTGCTCGTTAATACCTAATTAACCAGTCACATGGCGACTTGTGTCCTGACTTATGATGTCATGGTGTGGACGATATTTTCTTAGCACACAACTACTTAGACTAATTACAACAGATATTATTTAAACCAACAGCCTACTTGAGTATGGTTGACGATCTAGCCATCACAATCTAACCACTGTGTTTCTGTCATCAGAGGGAAGTCACAAAGCTCAAATGAGCTCAGACTGATTTCTTGAACATGACGGTGAGTTCTCTTTGCTCACTTCCACAGTCACCAGATCTCAATCTAATAGAGCACCTTTGGGATGTGGTAAAAACAGGATCTGCATCATTTATGTGCAGCTGATGGAACAATTGTATGATGCTAGCATGTGAATATAGACCAAAAGCTCTAAGGAATGTTTGCAGCACCGGTTTGAATCCATGCCACAAATAATTAAGGCAGTTAGCCAAACCTGGTACTAGCAGGATTTAAGTGGCTTATGAGTGCAGTGAGTTCAGGGATGAGACATAAATCAAGATAAATGACAAAAATGAGCAAGACAAACTATGTACTACCAGATCTCTGTGAGCAGAGTCACCCTGTATTAAGGGCCCTATTATTTTCTGTAGAAACTGACTGCTTAATAAAACATTTTTGCACACTATATTTGAATATTACAGATTCTATGAGTCAAAATCACTTACATTAAATTATATATAGATATTTCATATCTAACCTCAGATGGTAAAGGGAAAAAATAATTTAAAATCTATATTAATGGGGCTGCATTGTTGCCCTTTTATTAGCAATATGTACACGTTGAAAACTCAGAAAAGTTCGATCACAGCTTTGACAGCCTTTTATTCTGAAAATTATGTGTTTTTCTCATGCCTAAGTGCCGCACAGCTCCACAAATATGATCCGACAGGCATGACGTTGTTTTGTGAAAGGTACACAATAAGACACCATAGTGGCACTTTATTTCATTTAATACATTTATTCACTCTCATTACTTTTTTTCAGCGCTCTCTTTTGATAATAGAGACTCATGTGTCGTACATGCAAAGCTTTAAAGTGGAGATAAAAACAAAAGCTTTTCATTGCAATCAGCTTAATGTGCCGTACTCTTAATGAAAATGTGGTCTTAGGTATGTTGAAGCCTTTATAGACTGTCCATGCAGAGCAGTTGCTCCACAAAGCCACTCCCATTCCCCCAGGATCCTATTGTGAACATGTGCAGTGAGCTGGCTCATTGGGCCCTCATGGTGAATGGCCCGCAGCCATTCACTCAGCATACAGAAGCTCATTAGAACTCTATAGGCACACAATTGAGAGGCTCACATTAGAAACTTCCTGTTCTGGGGCATAGACACTGCACACAAAGTGCCAGTTTGCTGCTAAACTAAGCGCATTGTCCTCCTGATTCATAGAACCTGGCCCTCCATTCACGATATTAAGTTCGAGTGGTGGAATATCAATTGCGTGTGCAATGGGCCAGTATCTTTTTAAGAGCTTTA